CATGTGAAGTCTGCAATAAGGTTTGAGGTGCACTTTGTAGCTGTTCGTTTGAGATCTATCTTTAAAAACCATTGCCCACTATGTATTCGCTGTGGCGGAGATTCAACAAAGTAGCCAAATATACAGTGCAGGGTATCAAACCCACAAGCATGTCCAGAGAATCCCTCCCGGATCACTTTCATGAAATGACTAGTGGATACTATAGAGGCAATTGTGGTAGAGGAGAGCTCATTTTACATGTCTGGCAATCATAAAGACATATATGGAAAAGAAGAAATAATAAAACTGAAATACCATCTCAAGATGACTCCGCTGCCTTGATGCTGCCTTTGAGTAAGCACTTTTTTATTTCAAGGACACATTGGTTTTGCATCGTCAAATAAAATATCTTCCTGTTCTCTGACATTAAAATGTGGACTTTCTCTCTCCTTTACGTGATATACTCACCTTAGTATTTTGTAACTTGGTGCATGTTGAGTGTTTGGACTTTGCAATAAAGTTTTGAAATGTAGATTTACATTATTTCCTAATAATATTTGATATTCTTACACTCTGAATGAGGGGGGGGGAAACAAGTAACTCCAAAACCTGTTTTTTCCTTTAAATGGTGACCAGTGGAAAGTATTAATCTTGTACAATAATTAAAGGTGTTAACTATGTAATCACAGAGACTAAAAAAATTTTTTTCAATCATTCACAAATAAAACGGCAAGAGGTGTTAATCTTTAGAAGCTCTATTCAAACACAGTCCATGTATATGAGTGTAATGGGCTTTATCAAAAACTCTATAATACATACAGTTTTTTGTATGCTGAAAAAGGGATTAAAAAATATGTTGATTTGGTAAATTTGAAGTCAAAAAAGATAATGTGAAATTAGACCTAATGATAAAACAGCAATATTAAAGTGGTTTGTTTTTCACATCAGAGACTAGAAACCTCCCTCTGACTTTAGATCAGACATATACAAACACTTGTAAAACTTCAGTTGGACTTGCTACTCTTGTACTGTACAGTCTAATCAAAAGAATAAAAACTTTCCTAGATTAAAGCATAACCTAGCCTCTGATTTTTGCTAAATGGTTTAAAAACTATAGAGTACAAGATAATAGAGCATATAAAATAGAGGCCAAAAATGTCTCCCTCTTGTTTCCACCAGATTTTGTGTATTTATTCATTACCAGCTTTAACCAAGAACCTAGTTTCTTGCTTTAGCTAAAGTTTTCATTGCTTCTGATCAATTCATTGTGGTTTGTTGTTGCCATGCAAAACTGAAACAGGGGTCTTAGAGATGTTAAAGTTGAACCTGTCCTCTGGTAAAGCTGCGAAGAAAAGCTATGTTGTCTCCTATCTAGAGTATAAGATAATATATAGCAAACAAACCTTATAATTTTGAATTGTTCCATCTCAAAGTTTAATAGATTTGAAATATAAAGAGGATCTGTCTGCTTTCATAACGGTGAAAAAACACAGTGCCTGCTCTACGCAATGTGAGTCACAGTCACTTCTTAAAATAAACTAATGTATAGAGCGGAAACTAAGAGAATGTGTCTGTGCACATCTGTTTCTTTTTCATCCAGATCCAATTAAAATCGATTCTAAGTAAAATATTAGTACCGGTATATCCTTTTATAACCCTTTTGGAATCAACTAATGTCATTTCTAATAGATCTTTCTTATCTCTAAATGAATTGGTTAACTGGAGGAAGCCTACATGTAATCCCCATCTATTCTACTCTCTGCAGTATCATTTATTCATAAAAACAAACATAATCCTCCATGTTGTTCTTATATTTTATAGAATACCCCATGAGGTGATGCCTAGCAGTTCTCCCTATATGTTATATTTTTCCTCTTGGTCTTTAAACACTTCTAAAATACTGGCAGAAGGGGGGATACCCATCATAAAAAACTATAGTTTAATACTGTGTGCTTCTATAAAATATGCAGGTTTCACTGTCCCAGAACCAGTGATATGATTTGAATATGTTAAGTATGAATTGAACATGAAGCATTTAGACAATGATATTCATAATTTATATTCTGTGATCACCAATTTTGACTTTTGACAGCCATGACAGCCATGTTGGAATTCCAGTTAATTATGATTTAAATATATCAGACGCCTGCATCGCTTCTCTAAAAAACAAAATCATATTCAAATTGCACAGCTGGAACAGATTATTATTTACCTGCATGTACAGTAATTGGGCTAGGCTGCATTGCAGTAAAAATCATTACCTTTCCGATGAGAGCAACAGCATCAGGCATCAAAAAGGGTCGTGACATAGCTTTTCACCAAGATCCCTGGGGCCTCCACTCAGGCATGTCAAGACGTGCCTCACAAAACAAAAGGGGAATAAAACTTGAAGAGACAAACAGAAAACAACCTACGTATATGAAACTGGGGGAAAAAAGCAGGTGCCGATCTGCAGAGGGCGTAAAGTTTCAATGCTTAACTTTCTGTTTTGTTATTTGCTTGTAACTTTGTAATTTATATTTCAGTTTCCTGGAATATAAATTACAAAAACCATATGATTAGTACTGCCAGAGATGTTAAAACCTTTGATGACTTGACCACTTTTAAGCCACATTTTTCTCCAATATGACCATCTCTAGCACACACCTGTTTATGTCATGAAATGTGGGTGAATGTGGTGAATTATTCCTTATATTGATGTTTTGCTTTCTAGTTTAAATATAAATACGAAAGACACGAAATAAACCAAGGATTGATCAGATATCTGAGAATCAAAATATTAGAGAGAAAATGTATGTCTGCTCCAATTTAAGACTTTATGCTTACAAATAACGAAATTCAAGTTTTAAAACTTTCTTTTTTTTTTGGGTTGCTGGTGCTAAACATGTTGCTACGTTGCTTTAAATACCTTATTTAAGTACCTTATAACCTACTTACAAAAATCTTTACTGTTTGGAATTGGCATTAAATAATGAATTTAATCACATTTCTTTTATTCAAACCCGGAAAGCTTTCTAAACCTTGTGTAGTGCTCAGGGAAGTGAAAGGAGAAAGTTTTAAAACGTAATCAACTTCTTAAATTGCATAAAATCTACACTCACAGCTCACTCTGATAGGTACACCTTTTTAGTTGGTGCAAACATGTCATATATGTCAGTAACACGGGAGGCACTGATACAGCAAAAAAAAAACTTCCAAAAATGTGCATCATAAAACACACTCGAACTATTTTAAATACTAATCTGCCTCGGAATTTATGCACAGCCATCTCTGATTTACAGAGGAACTCTTGCAAAAGAGAAAATATCCATTTAAGCATATGGAAGAAAATATCCTGTCAATGAGTTAAAGTAGAGGAAAAATGCAGACTCACGCATAACAAAGCAGATACAATCACAGCACAAATAACAAAGGTATACTGTATATTAGCTCTAAAAAAAACTGTGAATTCAGCCTAAGAACAGATGATTTAGGCATTAGGACAAATGTGGCTGCAATTCCTCTGTGATAAAAGACAACTTAAACAACCTTTGTCAGAAAACTTTTGATTTCAGTTGCGACATTCAGATCCTGAGTTCTATCATAGGTTCAGCCCAGTTTGGATATATTGGATTAGGAGATGTTTTCCTACATACATGAGACTTCTTAGTATCACCTAATGGTCATGTTGATCATGACCAATCTCCTTTGGATGCATCGACCAAAATAATGCAACAACACAGAAAAGCTACCTCCTACTGCTGTCCACCTACTGTACACCTTAAGGCAAAAGGAAATTCTTTTGAGGATGAGATGTTCATTTTGGACAAAGAAGACAGGTGGTTTGAAAAGGGTGTGAAGGAAGCCATTTATGTTAAGAAAGAAAAAACAATCTTAAACAGAGGGGGTAGACTCAGGTTTCATCTCTCAAAAACCTGCAATGCAGCAATAAAGTTTATTCCTTCCCGATATCATCACAACCCCAACTCCCTTACAGGGGACCACAAAATCTCGCCTAATCAGCCAGGCCAACAATTCCCTCTAATGACCCCCCTTTCAGAGGCATAGACCATTATTTGGTATTGCAGACTAACAAAGAACCCAAACGACTGCCCATTCCTAAGGGGCGGACCCGTTCTTCCGGCTCAATTTGCATGTTTTCTAAGCCAAAACAAGGCTTTATTTATGTCCACTCTATAAAGACTCGAAATCAGTGCTAATACTGACATTTTGAATTGAAAAAGCTTCCTGCATGGGAAGAGAAATGTCTTCAAACTTGTAAACTAAGTCCAGAGGATTGTTTTTTTTTACTTTTTTAAAAACTTTTTTTGGAATGCAGCATCCCACAAACATGGATAGATCTCAAGATAGTTTCCTTAATGTGACAGGAAGTTCACAGTGTTCCTATGAGAGTATAGAGCCTTTTTGGGAAATGGCAGAATAAAGCCTTTGGCTCATTTAGGTTTTAGCTGACCAATCAGAATCAACTGTGTGAGGTATCTATGTCAACATGGGCCAAAACACTTAAGGCATTCCAACACCATTTATCAGTTAAGTTATTTTAATTGTTTCTTTTTTTGTGAACTTTTTATTATGTATGTGTATTGATAATGTGAAGAGGGAAAGTGTGAAATAGTGATGATCTTGTATGTATTTCCAAAAAAGTTGGAGTGATGCTCAGAACTGTTGTTAGAGGCTTTGCTGCACAGCTGCATTCGTCACTGTTCACTCTTCCTGTGCCTTTAATGAACACCTCATTAGTTGTAAACCTCATTAGTTGTCTAACGACCTGGAGCAAATGATCTGGAGAAGAGGGAAGGACTTTGTTGCATCTTAGTTACTGGAGCTAGGATGTTTTCACTGCAGTGGATTGTCAAGTTCAAAGCAGCAATCCTCTAAGAAACTTCTTATCTAAACAGAGATAAGCTTTATTAAACATACCAGATTTCATGCATATGAAGTTCAGTCTTAATGTACTTTATAATAAGTTGGCATCTGACAGACAGTAACAGCTTAATGTTATATTTCTTCTTGCCTTTCAGATCTGTGATAAGGAATGGCATTACTATGTGATCAATGTGGAGTTTCCTGCAGTGACACTCTTCGTAGATGGTGTGACCTATGAGCCGTACCTGGTGACGGATGATTGGCCGATCCATTCCTCCAAGATTGATACGCAGCTGACTGTGGGTGCCTGCTGGCAAGGTCAGTGTATATATGTGTGCAGGTTTGTTTTTGTAGTAGGAATCTTTATGCATAAAGAGGGTGAAATAAGACCATACCATGATGTTAGGGATGACAGGTGTTTTCTGCTGTCAGATGTTTCTATGGAAATTTAAGGGAACTATTTCCAAGGAGCAAAGGAAACATCATTTCATGCCTGTTCTTTGGCACTTACAGTTATCAAATATTGAATAATAAAATGTTAAAGAACAGACAAAAAGAAAAAAGAAAACAGCCTATTTTACAGAACATATTATTTAGTCCAAAACAGCTGTTAAACTGAACCATACTGGTAATTAATCACCAAATTGAGACTGAAATATTGATTTTATGTTTTCTCCTCTACAGTTAGCATCAATATTTTTGAGCCCTTGGCAGATCTGATTTATTTGTGATCATTACAAACTTTGCTTCTGATAAAATATGAGACAAGAATTTGTCAGATGTAACAATTATAGGAGCAGCAGCGTTAAAATAAATTGTTTACATTATTAAAATGGCAATATTTATGCTCTCCTGTTAATTATTTATTTCTGATAAGCTTTTTTTGCATTGTTTTCCTCTGCTTTTTGAGAAATACTGTTTGGTAATAAGCTTCACGTCTTTAATGTTGGAAAACCATTTTGCTTCTATAGTAAACTGCATCTCCTTTCCCAGATCCTTGATCATATCTATTTCAGTAACTTCTAGTATAAAGAAACATGGGGTTAGATTCATGATCTTTTTATTCAAAATTCTCCAGAAGTATGAATAACTTTCATATGTTTTTTAGGTAATTTTCTTACTCGACAATATTTTATATAAAGATTGCAATAAGCTCACAAGTTTCCAAAATTAGAGGCGCAAAAGTAGGCAGGTTGTGGGTGATTTACAAAGATCGCTGCTCAAATGCTGGAATGTGCAAACCGATTTGGTTCTGCCCTATTAAAATGAGCAGATTGAGTGTAAACCGAGGTAGGACATTGCCTTGTACTTTGCATATCCTCAACCAATGATTTTACACAGTTTGGTCTTTAAAATTTGATCTGCATATTGATGAAGGCAAGCATGCAAATAAAGGATTTTACACGTCTGTTGAATTGTAAACGCATATCACTTTGCACCTCTGATGATACGCTCTGCACATACAAACTTTTTTTGTTTGCACTCCTTTTAAGACCCGCAAACCTGATAAAGATAAGGCCCTAAAATAATATTTTGTCAAAAGATGCCTTTGTGCAATTTTCTAAACATAATGGTATCTAATATTTTTAAAATGGTACTATTCATCCGGAGGGAACAGTATCATTTATATATAGGTATAGGTGATAATGTTACCACTTGTGCATCCATATGTAAAATGCTGCCTTTGAGCGATTACATACTGTATTTCAGAAATGGAGTTATGGCCATTTCATATAATGTCAGCTTTGTTTTTGTTTTTTTTGCTTTTTTTTTTTAATGCTTCATGTTTCGGATAGAAATGACTGCTTCCTGACACAGCATGTCTCATACTGAGCAAACCTCAACTCATACTCATCAGTTGGATGTTTGGTATTGGCTTTGAGTACTGAAAATGGAATGTTGTTTTCTGTACTCTAGGCACAGTCTTTGCTTTAATCAGGGTGCATAATCTGTCATATCTCATATGAATCAACTGTCCCAAAAAGGGATCACTAACACTCTAATTCACGCAAATGATGCAAACTTTTCCAGAGAAATTGAATAACAGTAGTTTATGTCCATGGATAGAAAAGGATTGGATATAAAATGGAAGTAGGAGAGGACAACATTATAATGCATATGAGCAAAATTTGGAAAAATAAAATTCAAACGAAGGATCGGTGAGCATAAAGGCATTACACACGGTTATTATTAAAGCCTGTGGTGTGATTGGTCAGCTATTCAGGTTCACTGCCTTATTTAGATATGAGAACTGAAATTTGTTCACCTGATGGATGTCTAGTTACTGTAATCATTTCTTTGGAACAGAATGAAATTAAAAGCAGACCCTATGTAGAAAAACAGCTCCAAAATCAATGAGCTGCAGGATTTGTTGGTCTGACACCTTTCGCTCTGATCACTGGACTTGGGTTTATTTTAAAACTGGTGACAAACACTTTATCTTTAGTAGAAAGCTCTGTAGAATCCCAAACAGAAAGAGGGTGAGGAAACAGGAAAGCATTAGAATGCACTAGGGGATTAAGATGTTACACCTGAGGCTAATAGTGTTTTCTTTTTCAAGCAGGGTGAATATCGGCAGCAGATTCTGCATGTCATTTCCACCAAGGGAAATTAAAGTAAGCAGTGATTAGAGTGGGATGAATACTGCTGCTGTTTATTACTTGAATTATTACAAAAAACATGCTTCATAGGGCAGAACGGTAAGGAGCGATCTGTTCAGCAGCATGTCTAAATCCCACTCGTAAGACTTCCCGAGCATCCTCCAACGCCTCAATCATAATGACATTTCGGGTGGTGTTTAAATTTTCCTTCATTCAGCTCCTGATTGCAATTTTCTCTGTCGTCATCATTATTGCCTCGTTGCCTCATCCAGCCCTCTTGAGCTGCCTCTTTCTATGAATCTTTGATTGTGAGAGAAAGCCCTGAAGGAAGGATTAGCAAGACAGAATGGGGGACAAGTTTTCCAGCTATTACATCCCAATGAAGCCGCTTTAAGCTTCACTAAGCCACAACTGATAACTTTGCAGACCATTAGCAAGCAAGATTGCCTTTCAGAGTCTCTGGTTTCTCCGTCCTCTTTTCCTCACAATCAACAACATAGTGATGAAGCATGTGGAATAAAAACAGACATTAACACTGTATTCTCGCTGTCGTACAAGTCAAAAGATTATGTGCATTGCTACTTTGAAGGTTAACAAGAAAATGGTTTGAATGCTGCTGATCTCAAGTAGTTTTTTATTGCAGTATGCCAGTCAGCTTTTTATAGTTACAATTATAAATCTGTGTTTATCATATGATTTACGTTTCCAAGAGATGTTGGGTGTTCACCTTAGTAATGTTTACATACGATATAAGAGGACAAGGTGAAGGGTGGGAATAAAAAGAGATTTTTTTTTGCAGGAAATTGAAAAGTGTCTATTACATTAAAAAAGCACAATGTGGTTCTCTTTTACATGATAGCGCCCAGATCCACAATAGAAAGAATTCAGTGCGGTGCTGAAAATGTCAGTCTGTTTCAGCTCATTCATAAAAGGCCAATTTCCACCAGCACAGGTTGTCTTTCAAGAACAGTTTTAACACATGCCATCGAAATATTTTTAGTTTATTGCGTTCCAGTAATGATCGAATTCAGGAATTTGGGAGTGAGCTTATTTTTTAGTTTTTTAAAGATTTTCCAGCTGATATCGTTGCTTTGGTCCTGCTTAACCTAGTGTGCAAACATTACCTTGCTTGGGTAGCGTTAACACTCCTCTAATTAGTGCAGAATGCCTCAAACAGTATGACACACAGTTAGCTATTGAGTCTAATGGCTCACTCTTAGTCCACAAGAGTTAACATACTGCTGCACTGGCTGCCCTCAGCCAGCTTCCTACCTTCATTGAGGCAATCACAGCTCATTCTGCTAAGTTAATGGCTTAGTTGGACACTGTTTGACACCCCTGCAAGACCTTAATCCCACCTTACACTGTCTGATGGCCCCTCTTCTCTGTCAGCCAGCACCTAGGCCTGCTGCTGCAAACTCAAGCCATTGTGTGTCCGAGTAAACATTCCTAGTGCTTCAGTTCCTGAGGTTTCTGATATGGTTGGTCAAGCTTATCTGCCTCATGCTCCAGTCTATGAGTCCTTCAGTGAAGGTGTCTATATAGACATGCCTGGTCTTCTGTCCCTGACTGCTCCAATGAGGGTTCCTTGTTGCTGAGCTCTACTGTGGGTTTCTGGCTGCTTGGCCTCTCTGTGGGGTCTCAGCCTTCACAGCTTCTCCAAAGACTTACGTTTCTTATGCTCATTTGTTGGTCCAAGAGCCATTGGTTTGCCTTACTACAGTATGTGGTTAACATCAAACTTCACAGCAGGCCTCTTCACTTGCCTCCAAGGTTTCAACTTTACTTATAAGGGCCTCCTCTACGAGATGACTGCTGGATCTCCTCCCGGATCTCTGGTTTAGTGTTTGTTTTGAGCCTTACATCCAAGGCCACCTCTGCTCACCCTGTTTAGGTTTTGTTTCTGGTTAATGCACTTATTAAGGGTGCCTGCCATCTGCCCTTGGGGGCAGAAGGAAATGTCACAATTAGCTCTTTTTTTGTTTTGATTACTTCCACCGGCCTGTGTTATATCTAGTTTCCTTTAATCTCAGTTATAAATTTAAGATCTCTTTTTTGGTCATGTTGTTGTTGTTTTTTTTGGCTGCTCATCCTCCCTTTATGTCTGTAGTCTATTTCATTGAAAAGTCAATTTCTAAAGGTGAGAACTAAACTGTTAGGGAAATCCATTATTATTTAGATCAACAGAAATATCGTGGACCGCTTGTAATACAGATATAAATACCTTGGTTTAAAAAAAATTACATGCAATATGTTGGCTTGCTTGAAGTATTTCCATTTGACTTTAGTCATGAAGTCCCGTACTGTTATTTGAACATTTATACATTTAATTTAGCCAGCTCTGATTGGGTTGAGACTAAGACTCCGTCTCGTATCATATTAGTGATAATATGAGCCTATATTTTACCCAAAAATGTGCCTTGAATAGCCAAAGTAACCTCTGATATATATCACTAAAATCTGATCAGTTCGATGCTAGTTTTAGCCAGAAACTAATTCTGGTTGAAACGTTTGGAAGAATTGTTTTCTCTGAAAATGATAAATGAGATGCATGAGGTCATGCTGCTCTCTGACCTTTAATCATAAAAATCTAAATATCTGAATATAATGTTTTTTGTATGAAAACCTGGTGTAAAAATTAAGCCAAATTAAAAACATCCTGGTAACATAAGTGTTCTGGTACATCGGCAAATGTGCTTTAAGCATTAGGCAGAGAACTTTTTCTTCAGAGAGAAAGAAATTTAAAATAGTAATGTAAAGAACTAAATGTATCTTTTCAGATAGAATATCATGGAACACCACACACCATCTGTGTGTTTTTCCTCAGACTCATTTTTATAAGCCTGGCTGGGCGTGCATGCACGTCCATGTGAACAGAGCTTAGGCCCTCCCTGCCACCAGAGCAGCGTAGCGTAGCATAGGGGCAAAATGGCAGAGAGCCTGTCCAGCAGAGGGAAGAGTTAACCTGAAGATGCCAGTTATGATTAATTTTTATCATTTATGGAAAGGCTTGTTAAACCCTTAACACCTAGGTTGTTAATATAATAGATGTATATACTTCTCTTAATTATATAATTTTTTTCTCCATAGTGTAGTGGTATAAGGTATACATTTTAATGTTTTATTTCATCTCCCTGAGAAGTCAAGTTTTTTTAAAACAGAGATCCATTTGGCAGGATAAAATAAATAAAATTTAGGGTTAGGGGAAGAGACACTTTGAACAGAGTTGGAAATCTTTAAGAATACGATTTAATTCAATTTATTTGTATAATCCCAATTCACACCCCGTGTCATCTCAAGGAACTTTACAGAGACATTTCAATCAGATTATTAATTTAAATATACTTGTAGTGGCAGGTGAATAAAAATGACAACAGTTCCCCAAATGGACAAATAACCACAGTAAAGAACTGAAGTAAAGAGAAATATTGGGCAAGGAACTATACTTACATCACACGATTTGCAAATACAATACAATGCATACAATTGGCAGTGGACGGTAATTCCTGCTCCCTGAATGCTGGTCTCACGGCACTGAGCCACGCCAAAGCACAAAATAACTCACGTACAAGTAGAACTACAAAATAAACTGGTGCATCATAAGTAATGTAGAGTTAAATGTGGGCAAGGACTTTTAACACAGATCATACAGTCACATTGTTTCAAAGTTTCTATCAAGGAAAACCAGCTGATTGCATCAAATAATTGACTTGCAGGATACACTCCTCCTGGATGAGCTTGCGGCAATGATATCCGCTTGCATTTTGTTGCAATCCCTCACACCAAGAAGGCATGAAGCGACAGTAGAAAGGGAAAACTCCCTTTTAACAGGAAGAAACCTCCTGGAGAACCAGGCTTAACCTGAGTGGCTGTCTGCCAAGACTGACTGGGGTTCAGGGAGACAGAAGTAGACATACAGAAAGAAGCAAAGATGCAAAATATTATCTTTTGGCCCTCTCCAGGAAAGAAATACCTATAAAGATGTTGATGGCAACAACCCAAATTATATTTCTTTCCAAGATGTAGTCACAGTCAAACGGAAACAGACCACATAAACATATATATATTTTTCAGCTTTTTTATTGTCATTACACAAGTACAGAGCAACAAAATGAACTCAGCATTTAACCCGTTCCCTTTGGGAGTAGTGGGCTACCATTGTGCAGCGCCTGGGGAGCAGTGTGATGGTTAAATTGTCTTGCTCAGGGAGCCAGAGTGGCACTCCTTGGTAGTGGGGCTTGAACTGACAACCTCTGGATTCCAAGCACAATCCCCTACCAGATGAAGCTGCAATGACAAGAAAAAGCAAGATAAAGGTATGATTGGAACTTAAATACTGCAGAATTTGGAGAATAGAGATAGAATGAAGTAGAATGATGAAAAGTAAACCCTGCCTCCTACAGCAGCCTAAACCTATAGCAGCATAAATATAGAAAATAGCTCAGGATAATCTAACTATTTTGGTTGAGGTATGAGGAAGATAGAGCAAAAGGGAAACATTATGCCTGTTCACAAGCAAAAGAAAGCACCCATAAATGTCTTAACACATAAAATAAGTTCTACTGTTACTTCCAAACCTAAAAAGAAATTAAAAGCAAACCCCCAAAGACAATCTGCATTTTCTTTATTTCCCATTTCCTGAGAAAAACCGTCATACCCTGCTGTTTGGATCAACCTTAGAAATTTAAAAGATCTTACAATTTAAAAACTTGCTTTCAGATACATATGATCTATAGAGTAACCACTGGTACTTAAAGTAAATTGCTGAATAACATTTATAAAAGGGTATCTTAAACGTCTCCCTTTCTTTTAAACCTAATGTTATTTAGTTTTACCTGTAGCTCCTGAATCATTAAATTACAGTACTGAGTGCATGTCTAGACAGCAAATCTTGTGAGCATCCAGTTATTGACTCATGGACACTCTTTCTTAATAAAACTTTTTAGCTTTGTTTTGCAAAATGGAAGAGAAAAAGCATTTTAACAGGAAATATTTCTGCGTAGATGAAGGATGATGAGCAAGGATATTAGGGGATTTCTCACTCTGCTCCAGCCTATAACAACTCATCATCTGCAATGCACAGTATTCACCATGTGTTATCTGAGTGCAAAAACAAGAGCAATGCAATAACTACAATTCATAACATACATTTAATGCAGCTTGATGGGTTTTTATGGAAAAACATTTTTACAGCATGCTTCAAGTGGATAGACTACCTGCTTAATAGGACTCAACATCGACCTAGACAGTTTTAAAAAAACAGAGGTTTTCTTAATCACTCAGCAGGATATGCAATAACCTCAAGAACTATGATTAGTTTTTCTTCAGTTTGTCTTTTTTTTTTTTTTTTACATAACATTTTCGGTATAGTTTCTTAGAGATCATTGCACTAAATCAAACAGGCTTTACCCACCACAGTGTCCATACTTTAACTCTACTGATAAAGAACCCGAAGGACCCTTTTTTGCTGCTCTCCATCTCTCCAAAAAAAGATGGTCCCATTGTTACTGGAATAATTTATCCAACATTTACATATAATTCTCAGAAGGATCCAAGATAATGAGGGAGTTTTTTTTTTTATTTTTTTTTACTGTAATACCTTTGGAGGAAAGTCTGTTAACAAGATGGACCCTGTGGTTTCTATTGCTTCTTTTGTTTCTGTACATTGTAAGTCTAGGGAGAAAAATCCAAGCTTGTAGGAGAAGCTGGTTTCCAACTTGCTGACGGCTGTTTCTGTAATAGGATCAACTCACTAAGGTCCACATATATACAGATATAGTTCTCTCCCACAGAGCTGGGAGAGAAAGTATGCCTCCAGCTAAATGCAGGTTAGCTGCTTCGTAAGAGCATCCGCAGTTACAGTCCACAATTCCCCAGGCTGCTTTATGTTGTACAGGTTTTGCTCAAAGGGAACCTCCTGTTTGAGCTAAGAAAGAGTGACTTCAAACAATAAAAATACTGAGCCAATGTCTCATGGTTTCCCCAAAATTGCAATGCAAGGGCAAAATAAGACACCATTTCTTAATCCTACTCTGTCTGATTACCTGGATTTAACCTATGCAGTTATTTTTAAATGCTCCATTTCATTTGTATTTAATTGATATGTTGTAAGAAACAGGACATAATTAAAACCTCAGGTTTTAAGCACGTCATTACCACTTGGTTAATAGAATCTCAGGTCTTCAATAATAATCAGTATTATGACTGCATGTGTTGTTTCATTTAGAGGGTGTATTGATTGGCTCTTGCCCCTGATACCAATCTGAGTCATTTCAAATTATGCATGTCCCAACTCAATACTTTATTCAAATCAATAGCATATGCATGCTCTGAAAAATATGTTGTGTGTGTGTATGTGTAAAAACTATTAAATGTGTTTTAATTGTGTGCTAGCTTATGGTATTTGGATGTTGCAGTATGCTATCCAGCTTTACCCTGAAAACCTTCTGTAATTATGCTGCTCTAACATACTAATAACAAGACTTTAAAGACTATAATGATCTGACAACATCTCATTTTGTTTATATTCAGGGGATATTTATCTAACTTGATACATACAGGAACCCCAGTCAGGGCATACTGTTCTGCTGAGGTACTTGGCTGAGTCTACTGTAGCATGTTTGTATCTCTATATGAAACTTACTGATATTTTTGTTCAGAGTATATTGATTCTGTGTGATTCCTGAAGGGGTATGCAGAAAAACTTGAGAGGAAAAGGTGATCTCCTGATCCAAAAAGTTGTTGTTGTTTTTTTTGCCTTGAGTGTGAAATAAATGACTTTTGTTTCAGTTTATGCACACATGTCATTGGAGAAACCAAAAACATGGAGACTATAGAAGTAACAGGAGTCAAACAACAGTCCTTGAAGGCTAATGTCCTGCGACTTTTACATGCATCTCTGCTTTGATACACTTATTTGTACGACTCTGGAAACTTGAATATATGTTGAAGAGGTAATTCATACATTTGATTGGGGTGTGTTGGAGCAGGGACATGTCTAAGTGTTTCAGGATATCAGCCCTTGAGGACTTCAGTAGATATCAGGTATAAAACCATGAGATTACAAAACAATTATTTTCCAAACCTGATTTTTTTTGTCAAATTTTTTGCAAGGGTTCTCTTGGTAGAAATAAATTAAAAGGGGGATTTCACACTGCGCAGACTACCCCCCAAAATTTAGCCCCCTCTTAATTACCTAATACTACTCAAATTATATTTGAAAAGAAACTTTAAAAAAAAATCATATAAGGGAAGAAGTTACGTAAATTTAATGACATATAAAGCAAAAAAAAGTATTTTTTTTTTTAACTCAATATGTCAAATGTTGTCTATAGTTTTGTTTTTGTAGTTTTTAAATCTAGTTCTGCAAACAGCTCTGCCTTGAAATCCAAGTTGTTATAGATATATACATTGATACATAATTCTATGAATGACCCACTTTAAAGCTGAATCAATTGCTTTAGTTGCCTGAATATGAATAATGTGAGTCTTTATACTTTTCTTAGATTGCATCTGTCCTTTACTACAATTACCTTTTTTTTTTACTACTTTCTTCCCCATAATATCTCCTGCTCCTAATTTTTCCTCAACACCCTTTGTTGTCTTTGTTTCCCTTTAGGCGGTGAGGTGGCAACACCGAGGTTCACTCAGTATTTCCATGGCAGCCTCTCAGGTCTGACGATTCGACCGGGCCGCATTGAAACCCAGAAGGTTATCTCCTGCTTGCAGGCCTGCAAAGAAGGCCTTGATATTAACTCCCTTGAAAGCCTTGCTAAGGATATAAAGGTGTGTGGAAACATGAAGCTCCTACTCACAGTTATCAAGATACTTCAGTTAGTGTAGAGAATCTTCATTATCTCTGCATCTCTATTGCAGCACTATGACACTGTCGCATGTAATCAGTGAAAGCTCTTATATAAACAGCTCTGATTAAAGATCCTGAGTTCCTGAGTTAAAGAAACTAGTTTGAGCTTAGAAAGTTTTTCGTGTTTGTCCAGTTTCACTTTAACCCAGCCCAATCAGTGTTGGTGTTGGAAGGAGAGGACGTGGACAGCATCAATACAGCCATGACGAAGGTCTCCTACATCAACTCTCGCCAGTTCCCCACGCCAGGCCTCAGACGGCTGCACATCTCCACGTCTGTACAGTGAGTTCTCAATAATTCAGTGGATGCAGTTTCAACTTTGTCATCTTTGAGATTAAGCAGAGTTTTCCTTTTCTGAAGAACAAATGGTTTTGGCTATTTTCCATAACTGTCTTTTTCTAAAAAGGTTTTGTTTATTAAGATTAGGTTCTGAGACCAAAGATTCCTGGGCAGATCTCTTTTGTCATGCCGGGTATATCTCTTCTACTTTCATGCATCACAATCAACCTAATGTCTTCATCACAGGCTTTGCATTTTGGAACAGGGATCAGGCAAAGCATTTAGACACAAGGTGAAGCAGTAAGGGGTAAAGGAGGGATAGTGTGTTTGAACAAAGTCTTCTACACCTGTTCTAGTATGTAATTTGATGCCTCGTTATTTTTTATTGCACATTATGAAGTTAATAACTCATAAAATTAAATAGCCACTCAAATAAGAAGTGTTGTGTTTATCATCATGACACTAAAGGTTGTTGCTGTAGCTGGAAAGTAAATCTGCGAGGACTTAGTTTACAGCCTCACAATGAGTTCTGCACATTTAACTGCTGCAGCAACAAATAATAATACAACAATTATGATTGTAGTCTTACATGGGAATTATATTCAAACACCAAGCATGGTATTAATACATTTATGCAACCTGTACAGTTACCTCCACACAGGGGTAGAGCTATACCCTAAAACCCCACCTTGTTATAGGTTGTGTATTTCATATTACCCCAAACCTTTTTTACAAGTTTGTTTGCTTGGATTTTTGAATAATCACTATCAGTTATAATTTCTTCACTGCACTTTTTATTTTCTCCCTCAACTGTAATACATCTGGAATCATCGTTCTCCACTGTACTTGCCAGGATATTATTGAAATAATAAAATAATCTCAGAAAACGACTCTTCTATAGATAGTTTTACAAATACATTTGATATCACCTTGAAGTTTTGTGGTGGAGCTTTGTAATTGGTTGAATTCTTACCATGGTTTACCCTCAACTACAGCTCCTGTTTTAACTTTACCTAGATTTTACATGAAAAACTTGTACAGTACCCTTTGGAGGCACAAAGCTAAAATGCTTCATGCTAAAACATTTAAACATTTTACGTTAAAAAATGTTAAAATACCACCACAGTCTAGGATTGTATATTAATTTTATGTTTAAAATTATAGCTTCATGCTGCAGATGGCAAGTAAAATGCTGTTCTGGGACAATACTTACACTTAGAGTTCTGTTGTGTCTCACAAAGGAACATCTTCAGAGAGAAAATCAGAAGTTATGACTTTACGAAACCAGGTTATCTGAACTCCCATTCATCACAAATAAAAGAACATTGTAGCCTATGTCCGTGAAACAAATTTAAAACTTCTTGTTGTTACTCCTTTTCACAGAGTTTGGATGAACTTGACATGAATTATAGAGTGAAGAATAGTCTTATTGCTGAAAAGCACACACTATTATTTTTATGACTTTTTTCTTTCCTTCTTCTAACCACTGATATCAAAATGCCTGCAAGCACTGCTGAAAAGGCTCAACTCAATTAAGATCACAAGTTATGAACCCTAACAACAGGAGCAGTTAAAACACAGAAGGGGTTATTAGAGGAAAAGGGTGTTTAAATCAGGGATGTAAATGTTCAGGGTAGCATCACGCAAAGATGTCATGTATATTTTAGCAAAGCTTTCAGTGGGCCAGTATGACACAGTGGGATTTTTTTTTCCAGGTGGACCACATACCAGGACTTCTAACACATACACACACACACGCACACACACACACACACACACATACACACACACACAACCTCTCCACAGATTCCAGCTTGTAGCCTAGTTGTAATTTGAAAAATGATTTTAGCTGTGTTTACCTGACTGCCAAATGACTCAAACTACAGCAGAGCTGAATGATAGCAGTACTTTGAATAGTTCTTCACTTTACAATGAAACACAGACCAATATTAGCACATTTAAGGGGCAGTGCTACCATTTTGTGGACCTGAACACAAGTACAGCATGGACCCTCCCGAGTTTTTATTTCTTTAAAGAAGTTTGCTGTTTTTTCAATAGTGGGTAACTACAAATAAAATCATGCATTGCTATGCTTTTGTTGTTCTTTTGCAGAGATTTTTTTTTTTTGTCTAGAACAGTTCCTTTTTCCTTTTTAAGGAACAGTGCAGAAAGAAACAGAATAAGCTTTAAGCTATAGTGCTGATGATCACCAAAAGGTACAGGAGTTTGTACATTAATAATGCTTTGATAGAGCATTTCTCTTGGATCTATGTGCTAATTGGGTTTAGTTTTGGAGAGAGTAACCTGCTGTATCCATGTCATGAGATCAGTCCACAAATGTGAGGGAATGATGGCTGCATGATTTTAAAGACACATAATTGAATATATAAATAACAAGCAATCTGTACATATAGAATTAAAAATATATTTATAAATTATATATATAAATAGTGTTTAAAGGTATAGGGGAGGATTTTCTTTTTCCGGGTGGATCATCAAAATAAGTGGTCCTCCTAATTGTCAATCATTCTGGTGATATCTTTACGTACGGCCGTCCTACATGCTCGTCCCTAGGCAGCTATCTTTTTCTGTGCATGTACACTTTCAGGTGTATATGTGTGGTGAGATACGGTCTTAGCAAATTATTGAAGCTCACCTTTCTCATAACAGATCCTACAAGAATTAGCTATTGAAAGCTCTAAATGCACAGGCAGAAAAAAAAATCTTGCTAGCAGATAGCTTGTTTATTGGCCTGTAACATGTGTAAGCTATAAAGATGCTTGTAGCTACAGAGATACACACATATTTGCATTCACAATCGTATTTACGCTTGTCAAAAATACAGTTTCACTTACAGGTGGTGAGTCTGACATGGTGAAAAAAGTTGCTAATCTTCTTTTGGAAAGTAAGCTGGTATGACCGATACACACAGCAACTTGTAAACAGAGAATGCACACTAGTCTTTTCAGAAATGAGGGAAAATCCTTCCCTATATCTTTAATATGGGTGGAAAATGGAGGAGTCTTCATGCCAGTTTACAAAAATCACAATAAATCCTCAAAAGATTAGGAAACATCTCAATATATAAGATGTATCCAGAACTCAACCATTTTTGTCCAAATCATATAGATTGTGTTTTTTAACATAATAATTAGCTATCTCTTTAAAGCTACTATTTTCAACAAAATAACGCTTTAAAATTAGACCTATCCATGAATCTAAGATATCACAGCCAGTGATAAGCACAGTAGTGTCTGGAGGTCTTTGTTAATCTGGTCATTCCATATATCTGACTTTTAGGGTGTCATTAATAATACTTCCTTTCAATTTTCACCCCTCTACCGTGGCTACCAAACATATTTTTTCGCTCTCTTCAGTCCGGTTGCCATTGGTAACCATGAAATAACATTGATCAGCTGGCTCATTTACTGTAAATACACAGCGACATTCATGCAGTGCTTTGGATGAGCTATTTAAATTGAATGTGGGCGTCTAGAGGGCAACGCATGAGATGGAACATTGTGTGGAAACTTTGAGGTTTATAAAAAAAAATGCTTGGTTTTATAAATGAGGATGTGTTTAGTGTCGCCATTTTCAGATTTTTGACCTAGGTCCCGTTTTAATATAGATGTAACTTAATGTTTTATAAAGTGATTTGATCACTCCATGTGTCATAAAGTATTTATTATAAACTTGCTTCTTTTTCTTCAGAAGAAACAATTAAGATTTAGTCAAAGCACAATCAGTGTTTTTTTTTTTTGACACAGCTGGTGTGACTTTTTCGGGATTCTTCTGTAAAAGATTTACATGTGCTGTGTCTGAAATAATGAATGTATAATAAAGTGTGAAGGAGGTATGAAATTGTGGCAGATGTTGGGGTTGACTTTGTCATCAAGCCATTGAACACGCAGTGAGATGCTAAAAATGGACCATTAGTGTAAAAACAATTAAACCATCAAAAACAAGCAGATGTACTTTCTGGAAATAAAGCCTGATGGTGTTTGCATGGACTCTTAACTGTCCCTGCCCTTGCCTTAGTTTTATTTTTTGTCCTGCGTCTGTTTGTGGGCTTTGAAATTTGCTTTGAACCCTATGAAATGTTTTTTACTCTGGCAGATCTTCAGGATGAGGACTCTCTCTCAAGGCTTTTCTTTTATCTGATCTATAAAAAACTGCCACATTTTCTTAATATCTTCAAACATATTGATCTAAGAAGTGTCTTTATGTCAGATATATACATAAAATAGGACTTTTTTTGATATTAGTGAAAAAAATAATAGGTGTCTCAGTTAGTTTGGTCGAACCAAAAACCTAATTAATTCATCCAGATTCATCCATTATTTCCTGAGGTTTACACACTACATTCAATCTCAAAAAGGTGTTTGTTTATTTTTTTACTTTTGGCAAATTAAAGGCTAACTAACTAGTAGATGTATTTAGTATACATTTTTTAAATTACAATCCAATTAGATCCAGAGCGCATCTCGGTCTGAGTCTAACATTTGATTCTGTTTTGTCTTCTCCTGCCTTCACACCCATACAGCTAGATTGTTTACCTTCAAAGGTAGGCCAGGGTCAGATCAGACACATGTTGTTTGATAAAATAAGACGAGCCTTTAGAACAACAAACGACGTTGTGCACCTCTAACCCGCTGGCAGCAAGATAAAGCTGGAAGAATCCTCTGTGCCCAATCTGCAAACTGAACATGTCTGCAGTCTATGATTAGGGAAATCTATAGATGCTTTTTTTTAAATCCTGATCGTTTTATTTTGTTTGTAAATAGTGTTGCTGGATTCATTGGTTTTATAACAACTGTACAGCCAAGTGAGGAATCATAAGTCTACAGTGATGTAGTGTTGCCTGTGTTCCCTTAGGCTTTGATGAAACAAACATATCTTTTTAGATTTGCATTTATGTACAATAAAACAACATTGTGCAACTTTTGGAAATCTATTGTATTCTGCTGAGAGATAAGGTCTCACTCTGTTGCACTTTACTGCTGCACTCATTTCTATTTATTTTACCATCTGTCTACCCTCTTAGTCCATGTGTATGCCAAAAAAAACAAAAAAAACTAAGTTGATTAATTGGATACTTCAGAGAAAACTACTAAAAGCAAATGATTTAAAGTAAAACTAAAAAATTTCAGAACATTTGGAAAGATATGAACAATTTCCGCTCATTTTCGTCAAAGAAACACCATCCATCCATTTTCTCCCACTTATGACATCAGGAGGGTTACTATGCGGCCGGTGCCTGTATCCGGCAGTCTATGGCCGAAAGGCGGGGTCCACCCTGGACAGGTCCCCAATCTGTCCCAGGGCATCACAGAGACACATGAAGGCATAGAACCATGCACACACTCTGACAAATAAGGGCGATTTAGAGATACCAGTTCAACCAGCAGTCATGTTTTTGGACTGTGGGAGGAAGCTGGAGCACCTGAAGGGCGCGGGGAGAACATGGAAACTCCATGCAGAAAGACCCTTGGTCGGGAATTGAACCTGGAATCTTCTTGCTACAAGGCAACAGAGCTATAAACTGTACCCCTGTGCAGCCCATCACAGCAACTCTAGTATTATAAATCTATCCATCCATCCTTCATCTGATCCCGCTCAGTCCTGTCAGGGTTGGGCCGGTGCCTATCTCCGGCTGTCTATGGGTGAGAGGCTGGGTACACCCTAGACAGGTCGCTAGTCTATTGCAGGAAAACACAGAGACAAACAGGACCAAAAACCATTCTTGTACACACTCACACCTGAGGAGAATTTAGAGAAGTCAATTAGTCATGTTTTTGGACTTTGGGAGGAAGCCGAAGTACCCGGAGAGAACCCACGCATTGAGAGAACATGCAAATCCATACAGAAAGACCAAGGCCTGGGAATCAAACCCAGAGCCTTCTTGCTGCAGGGCAATGGTGCTACCCACTGCATCACTGTGCAGCACCATCATAAATCTATGCTTCTCTTTAATGGGGACCCTAGCCCAAGACATTTCTAACAGTGTGCTTAAAGTGTATTTATAATACAACCCTTTAAGCAGTGTGCATTACTAAGCATCACTTAAAGTGAAAATATCAAGTTTAACTGTTTGCTTTCACTTAATGCTGTTATTTACTCATAGAAAATGTTCATGCAGAACAGATTCTATGGAGGACAATACTTTTGACATGACACCTACCACAATGTATATTGTTTGGTTTATCTTAAACACCCAAATATACCCAAAAGCTAAGAAGAAAAGAAGGCCCTGTTGACAGAACAACCATTACTTATCAGATCTGTCTTTTTTGCAAAAAGAAAACTTATGCTAAGAGAAATCCTCAGATAGTCCTGTTAGCAGCTTTCTGTAACAATGAAGCGGACACTGCAAACATGAGAAAGAACATCCTCATGTTAACCTACACATAAAATGCTTAGTGTGGTATAGTAATCCATGAGTTTAAAACTGGGTGTTTTACACTCAGGGATAAAAGGATTAAGTGTATAAAATAAAAGTCATATTGAACCCGTTTTTTAACTGTTGGTGGCAGGTTACCCCTCTGATTATCTTGTTTACTATGTTTGTTTTTTCTTTTTATTCATAGGTTGTTGTTTTTTATAATTTGATGCATAGGGTCAGAAAATTACGTTTTTTTTGTTTTTCTTGAGATTGAGGTGACGATTATAGAAAAATAAAATTATTCATAGGTTTGAGGAAATGTTTTATCTAAAAACTAAATCTGTAAGGATTACAGATCTAATACCAAAGAGAGCCTCGATAGGACCTTTAAATGTACATCTTCTCATGCAGTAAAAAGGTTTTGGCAGGGGTAACATCTGCTAAAATTAGCTTTACAATGTTTTCAATTTTTCTTTTTGTAACTTTTGTAGTACTGTATCTATTCTAGAAATTACCCTTAGAATTTTTATTTTCAAAAATAGGTGTTTTTTTTTTGTTAAATTCTAAATTAGAACAAAAAAGTGAAGAAAACCCTAAGTGTGTATGCACGAGTATGCTTTAACACCTCACCTGTCCTTCTGTCAGGTGTTTTGGAGAGGATACCTGTGTCTCTATCCCAGACATCAAGGCAATGGTTATGGTGCTGCCACCAAGTGAACCCACAATCACCATTTCAGGATCCAAGCAGCTTGTCAGACCAGCCAGTGACCTCCGCAGCCCGCTGGGTGTGGCGCCCTTCAAAGAGCTTCGGATCACTAGTACAGTAATGAAGGGCGACAGCTTTGGAGGATGTGAGTGGCCGCTCCTCTCAGCTTTTAAAGGATCGCTTTTTTCTTAACAGCTTGCTCTAATGTCTCAGTTCATCAACTTTACACACTAACTGCTAACTTTTATCATTCCAAGCTGTTTTTTTTTCACTCATATTACTTATAATGTGGTGTCTGTGTGTGCAGTCCACCGACCTGGGGTGATGGAGCTAATGCATAACCTGGACTACTGTGATGTGCTTGTTATCGGAGAGGAGTTGGAACCAGAGAGAGAGAGCCTGGAGATTCACCACAGTGCTTTACTGGGAAAACACCTTGATGCCACCAATTCCACCTCTGGAATATCAATATATGGTAGATATGTTCATTTCACAGCACTTCTTAACCTTAAAACTCAGAATATGTTTGTTATAAATGTTAACATGGATCTGGAAAAAGATCTCTTTAACTGCGAATCAGGAAATAGGCAGAAAATCCCTTTAGATTTTTTAAAACGTCTGTGGAATATTGATGGTTGTTATTGAACGTTAATGGTTTTTCTCATGCCATATTTCTACTGTTACCTCTAACACTGCGAGACTAATTTATGCAAAACAATATAAAATAAATAAAAAAAACAATTTTTTATGTTCCAAAGTGTTCTGTTAACTTTATAGCTTGGTCCACATTTAGAAAATCAGTAATCATTTAAAAGCCTTGTTGTTTGCTTCTCCAGACATTTTGACAGAATCTCTAAAAACAACAATAAATTCTTTATTTTCTAATAAAGTGTAGTTAGAAAACATTTGGAAAACTAAATAGCATATTTTAGACAGCTGCATCTTTTTACAGGTAGAATGACTATAATAATATTCCCTCACTATCCTTCACCTTTAGCATTTCTCTCACTAAAATCTGTATCAATTGTGGGCAACAAGGGATGGTCAACCTGTTCAACTGATCTGCTGAGATTGAAATTCATCTATTGAAGGATAATTTCTGACTGTCCCCAGGTGTGGACTCCATGGCCCACTATGAGCAGGTTCTCAGACAGTTACGCTACAGAAACTGGAGACCTGGCTCTCTAACAGAGAGAAGGTTCAGACTAACCTGCTCTGAACTCAATGGACGTTACACCAGTAATGAGTTTAATCTGGAGGCAAGTTCGGGTTTTTACATAAACCTACATCTTTTTTCATTTTCTTTGTTTTTATGTATTTATCACACAGTGTCATAGGTACCTTGTCTTGGTCTGTTTTTTTGGGAATAACAGCTCTTTGTTCCTGCTTCTTTAGGTCAGTGTTCTTCACCACACGGCACCCATGGAACATGTCAATCATATGGCTGCACAGGCTCAGTACATGAGACCCGTCCATCACCCGCTAATGATTCACTCACTTAACTCACACATGTCAGGTAAGCCCCGAATAAAGAGGTGGTTTTCTGCATCACTTGTCTAATGGCACCCTATCTTAACCTTATTGGTTGGATTGAACAAATTTTCCTTTTCTCATCAAATGTATTACAATTAAAAACAGTTATGCATAAGATTATTACAGTGGGTGCATTAAGGAACTCATTACTCTTAGGAAGGTTTGCCCTAAAAATCAAATAGTTTGGTATTTGAAGCCTCCAAAAAGGATTGTAGAGGATTTCATGTACAGCTTTTCCCTAGCAATAGGAAATAGTAAATTACATTTAAAACAAACGCAAAACATTTCTGGTTTTTGGTTCTCCAAACAAATTCACCCTAAAAGCAGACAGCCAACGTGTTAAAGGGTCTTTGAAAACCCCTGAGATATCATCCTGACTCCTACACCAGGCTGTTGCTGCTGCTGATATTTATAGTTTGTACAACGTAGACTCCCTTTGGTCTAAGAGATTCCTAGAGGCCAGGCTAAAATTAGCTAGATACAAATGAAGACAAACATCATGAAGGAATCAGATGAGTCTAAAATTTAATTATTTGGACACCAGGACAGAGCACATGTTTCCTTTTAACTAAATACAGTATTCCATGAAAATGATCATCACACCATCTGTGAAGGATACAGCTGCAAGTTTATTGCCTCCAAGATGCTTTGCTGCAGCAGCATCTAACCAGCCCACCATTATAGAATCAGCTGGGATTTCTTCTATCTGCCAGAGGGTCATGGGGGGAAATGTGACACCATCTATGGAATAGAATTAGGCTGAAACAGAACTGGACCCTGCAACATGACAGAGACCTAAAACATGGCAGCAAATTCACAGGCTGACCAATAAGAGAAAAGGCTTAACTATTGACGGATCATGATGTCACTGAGGTCTTGCAGAGTAACTTCAAATGCAAACAACCCCTCACATGTTATAACTGGTAGAATGCAACTAGCAGCATTTCATGGACATTAATAAAGTTCATTGTTATTTGTTTTTACTTATGCATTAATTTAGCATACTCTGGAATTCTAAATAATTAAGTAGGGTTATTAATGCACATTGGGACTATAACAACTCAGTGAGGGGTAGTGACTCCTCGTTTTAATATCATGCATAATGGATAATGGTTTCCTGTAACTTACAGAGGGAGGTTTAGTGGGTTACTGTTGCTTAAACATTAAGCCAGTGTATCTTGGTGCAGTTAGTCTGTTAGTGAAAACTAGAGTTATGCTGATAGCCTATTTGTTTATAGCTAAGAATAAACATGCCCACTAGAATGGGAAATAGTTTAAAAAGCAGTGTTGTTCATTTAGAGGTTAGATCTTTAATATGTACCAGAAATGGTGAAGAACCTCTAAGGATGTATATGAATAAAAGGTTAGTTTATGTGCATATAGTTTCCTTTACTGCAGTCCTATACACGTCTCTCACAGCCTGATAAATAGCTGGCGCACTAACCTCCCAGCCAGGATTTCCAGAGAGGGTACAACCAATCAATAACTAAAAGATGTGGTTTGCAGAGAAAAAGTGAACAGCTGATATTCCAGCTACTTGCTCTTTGAAGAGCTCAGTCTTGTGTAACAGTCCTTTGTGCATTCGAGAGTGATGTTGATTCTGTGCGTGATGTATGAATCTGTTTCCACTGAACCTTGTCCGACTTATCTCATAATCCCCAAGTCTTCAGCCCCAACCAAGCATAAACACTTGTTTTTTTTGTTTGTTTGTTTTTTTTCTTCAATTTGGTCTTTTTCTACATATTGAACAACAGTTCAAACAGTTGGATTTAAAAAGTACATACATTATGCAACTCCATCCTAGTAATCTTATTTATGATAATAAAGTAATGCAACACACCCAAAGGAAAATATAATTGAGTTATGCCACTAATTTCATTTTGTGTGTGCAGAAATTATGCCCTTCTTTTCTTCACTAGGTCCAGCTCCTCCTGCAGCCACAGTTGTAATTGTGGTGTGTATCGCCGCCCTTGTGATCATCGTGGTGATCGGGATCTACAGGATCCATGCCGCACATCAGGAGGGGTCCAGAGATGATGAGGATGAAATTAAAGATCCAGAGTCAGACTGGGAAAGCTCTGGACTCAACATCACTGTCAATCCCATGGAGGTAGCTGGGACTATTTCAGCTCTCCAGAACGCTTTGCATTTTTTACTGATATGATGACTAAAATGCGTATCAGCCATGATTGGATTTGGGAGCTGTGTTTTCTTTTTTTTTCTTTTTTTTGTCTAGGACATAAGAGGACCCCAGGCGCACGGAAAAGCTGTGAGAGGAGAAGAATGTGAGGAGGAGGATGATGAAGATGATGCTGAGTTGGTGGGAGGCATGACGATGGTTGAATCAGACAGCAGCGATGAAGAGGAAGAGGAGGAAAATAAGGGAAGAGGAGAGGTTAATGGGAGGAAGCAGAAGGGAAAACCTGAGTGGGACAGTTCATGTGGAACATACTAAGCACACACACACGTACACACACATTTCTACACACACACACACAGTGGTTTTATCTCTTCCAAAAACATGCACACCTACACTCTTAGTCAGCTACAACACACAGACAAACACACAGACATTTAAATTCCCTAATCAAATAAATTAGAATCTTTTGCTGGAAAAATACACAGAATCCTCCCATGTTGCAGTTTTTAAAGAAATGTCGCCATCTGCTGGGCAAAGGGAAACATTCGTCACCATTCAGTCAGCAGCAGTTCCAGTGCTGGAAATCATTAAGTGTTTTTCATTATTCACAGCACATTCAGTGAGTTAGATCATTTATCAACACATTAAAAAGCACATGTGCCATTTCACCATCATTTCGTGTGCAGACTGTCTGAGTTTTTCTTTGAAAACATAAAATAAAACTAACCTCTTGTCCCTACATTTAGTGCAGTGTATCGCAAAATGATTTAGTAGTTGAACTTTTCCACATTTCAATATGTTACGACCACAAACATTAAAGTTTTCTTCTGGAATAATGTCTGGTTGACCGACATAAAGTTCTGTATAATATTAGAATGGAAAAACATGAGTGCTTTTTCATATTAAAATCTGAAAAACATTTCTCTTAACTTGCAGGCAGCCTCCCTGAGTCAATACATTTCTAGAAAAATCTTTTTGCTGCAGTTTCAGTTGGGCTAGGGCCTTATCTTCCAGGATTCTAAATAAAGTGCACTAAATTGCACATGCAAGAATGGTGTGTGGTGCATAATTTACAAAGATTGCTGCACAAATATTAAGATGTGCAAACTGGTTTGGTTAAGCCCATAAAAATGAGCAGATTGCATGCTGGGCCATTCTAACACATGAAAAGGCTTTGGTGTAAATGACTCTACTGTAGCTCTAGCTGTTATAATACACGTCATTGTCTCCCTGGAGGTTAAACACACACCTAAATTTCTGTCCTTTTGCAGACTAACTGTTTTTTCTTTCTTTATTTTAATCGAGATTCATCTTCCAAGCAATGATTACCACTCTCTCTGTTCTTCCTGATGCAAAGTATCCCCAAAGCATTATACTATACCCACTATGTTTTCCCTGGTGTGCTCAAGCTGATATGCTATACTGTAGAAGTTTTTCTCTGTTTATTTTGTATTAGATAGAAAGTTTAACTCTGGTCTTACTTAGACTTAGGACATTTTAGGACATCTTTAGAAATAACTTAGGAATAAAGTTGACAGTAAACAAGCTTATCAGTTTTCTTCCTTAAACCTGATAAGCTTATTTTTAGGACTGAAAACTAACAGGTGTAGAATGATCTGGAAAAAACCTAAGTAGCCTACTTAGAAATGAAGGATGAGACCTGATTTGATGAGGAACTAGGCACAAAGACTATGACCATATCACAATATTTTCTTCTTTACTAAACTATTTCTATGGGCACAAATTGTAAATAAAACCGTAAACTCAGCTTAATCCATTAAGCGTTCACAAATATTATTGTTTACAAGTAAGCAGAGAAAAAAAAACTTTCTCATCCATAAATGTATTAATATACAATATCCATACAGATAATGTTTGCCCTGCACTATCTTAATAAACAGACACATATCACCAGATTCTCCCTCCTGAGCTGAGGTTCTCTGCAGCTCCTCCAGCTTTCTCCATAACTAAATGCTTTTGCCTACCCTTTACATTTATGCGCTACTTTGGGTTAGTAAATACCTCTTTGCTCCCCCCCCCAAAAAAATTTATTAATTAATAAGTACATACAAGTTTGTGGTTGCAACAGGACAAAGCATGAACAAATTTACTGTCTCTAAATACTTAAGCAATCCCTTCTGATTCCTTTTGTATTGTCTTTCTAACCAGACAGTCTGTAATTCAGATGTATCCATACATGTATTCACGGGTTAATATATGCATTAACATTTTAGACAGAAATAATAACTGGATCTAGATATTCTGTACGGCTTAGCGATGTTGTTGCTCAGTGTTTATCATCCTCGACTGTTGGCTCGCACTTCCTTCCTCTCCATAAGCAGTGCTATGGTTCTGTGGGCTGCACATTAAAGAAAAAATGGTGTCTCTCATTAAACACATTTCTCATTTGTTGTGCATTGCATACGATTTACATGCAGTGAATGATAGATTATGTATTGCAGGTAATTCTCTCTCTGAATAGTGTCTTTTTATGACACCGGGTTACTGTGTACAACTTAAAACTTCTATGTACATTTTACTTTTACTATTCATCATAGAGAGGTCTTAAAATAGCAGATGAACCAAAACCGATCTAATAATCATGACTTCCTGTTTTTGTATGAGCAACATGTCAGCTGAAATTATAAATTACACAAGACTTTTAGATGGAAAAGCAGTACTTCCAGGCCTCATCATCATCATCATCATCATCCATCACCCCCCTGCAGTAAGGTTGAACCCTAACAAGCGTTGAAAGATTTTTATTTTTGACTCGGATTGAGTTTAAAGGAAATATGTAAAAGTAAAATTTACTTCTAAGAGTAAGTGAGGGGATGATCTGCAGTCATGACTGAGAGGTAACCAGCCTAGCTATCTCTCTGTATCATGTGTGTTTTGTTTTCAGCCTGCAGTGATCAGAAGTTTTCACACACTGACCGGTATTATAAATAATACATTTAACTCTGTACTTACAGCCTAAATAGTTAAAGATTGCTACAAACAGGCTTGAATTGGAAGGCAGACAGACTTTTAGTTTTTTGAAGATGTTTCCACAGCTATCCAGGATTTTTTGTCAATTCTGTTGGCTCGCACCAGAGCAATCTCTTATTGGAATGCTGATGTATTGCAGCAGCATGGAGGTCCATCCTTCTGCACACATTCCAAGTCAGATGCAAATCAAATAGCCGTCCTTTGTTCTTCTGAAATGTTGGAGCCTTTTGTTGTGCATGGGCTATGTGATTGGCCTTTTGAATCATAATAAGAGGCTTGTATAATATTGTTTTCTCAGCAAGTTGCAGATAAAATACAAACATGTTGTAACCATTAAAAAGCTTCCAGTTTAATTCGCCCTGCCTGCATATTCAACCTCCCTGCCCCCTGAAAAAAACACCTCGAATAAATCAAAATGGCCAAATAAAAAGTAAATATAAATTAGTGACCAGAATAAACAATAACATCTTGGATTTTCAATCCAGCAGTTATTATAATTACACTTTATATGCTTCACTGGCTCTCAGTCTTACTCACCAAGGAGTGCAGCTTTGATATTTCTAAAGTTACTGATGCTTGTTTAAAGGGGAAAATTGATGTTAACATCTTTGGACAGTTTACGTCTCAAAAAGTCCATTTGGCTTTGAAAATTGTTTTTGTTTTAAATAAGGAGCAACCCACAGAACACATTAGGCATCGGTTTTTTGAAGGAGTAACCCTGCATTACAGTGAACCTCTTCTTTGAAATCCATGATGTCCCCCATTTAAAACCTCCAAACTAAACCTATCGTAAAACACTCTTGTTGTGCAGTCCTCAATCTGTTTATATCCCTGCAGCCACGAGGCAACCAGAGCCATCCCTTACTAGTGACACATTTAAACAATCCTACAGATTAAGTGTCCAGTATGTAGAGTTAACCCCACACCGCAGCGGTGGAAAAAGAGCCAGAGCTGCGGTTTGGTTTCTCCTCCTCACCTGTGATGTGTGCGTTCTTCCTAACAGACATGTCCATCTGTCCTTTAAGCACCTGTGATCGTAACGTCATCATTGTAAAACAACTGCCCCGTTTCCTTTGTCATGTTATGCTCCTGAAACGTTAAGGAGATTCTTTTGCATATAAAATGAAACCCTGTAAAAATGTTTAAGACAATTATTTTATATATCCGTTTCCTTTTTCTTTTTGTAAACTTAATAGTTGGGATTTATCTCTATCTAGCGGTCATCCCACTGCTTTCTGTATAATGATCAATAAAGACATGTTTTAGACTCTACTCAGCTCTGCTTTGTGTTCCTGTGCTGCATTTACACCCATCTGTTTGTAGAAATACTTTAAAACCACAGAATGCATGAGCCGTTATCACATCCATTTGCAAGCTTTCTGAAATTCACATCTTGACATTCTAAGTACTTTTTTATGGGTGTTTATGATAAATTCACATTTATAAAGAAAATGTAATTTGAATTTCTTCTAGCATCTGTAGCAGCGTTTCTGAGCTGGTGAGAAATTAAACCTATTGGCTGTTCTAGCTGTTTTTTAACCAACCTTTTTGGTAAGAAGTAAAAAATCAGAATCAGTAAAGGAAACATAAAACTGACTTTTCTTCAAGAAAGTTCTGTCTAAAATCTATAAGCACTGGTGTTTTTGGTATTAATGTAGATTACTGTAATAAGAGCTAAATGTCAAAGCTATTTTTAGGGGCAAAGGGTAATGTCAAAGCAGATTTCTACCACTTTAAAAAAATCTATTAATAATTTATTAATCAATTACATTTCATGTCTGCACTGGAAAATCATGAATATTTTTTTGTGAACACGGAGATATTTGGTGCTGTAGCATTAATCATCTTAAATTATTTCCTGCAAGAGCAATGTTTTGTTATGATGAAAAAAAAACATATATTCTAGCTATTTAGTTATGAACCATTTACATTGCCATCTTTTTCTTGTGCAATAAACCATGATAATAGTTTTGGACATTGAAAATCAATGTCCATGCTTTTTATTAACCATGTCCATTGGGGGAGTAGCATAAAACTTTCGCTCTGCAGGTTGTCTCCCCTACAACACCTCCCCTAAGACAGTATCACATGACACAAGAATTGTGCCTTTGCCCCCCCATGGTATTTGAGGATAAGAAAAACACACCACACAGGATTGCTTCCTCTTTTCCGTGATGCTCCGGGATGTTGACATCGGAGAGATGCCAGCATGGAAAACCCAGGCCCAAGGTCCAGCTCTCCAGCGTGACCAATGCTAAGTCGTGATGGTTGACATTGCAGAACCGTGCTACTACATGACATGACATGTTTGCAGCAGTCCTCTTTGAGTTTCAGAGAGAAAATACAGGTTGAAGGTCGACAAGGTCATTTAAGGGTTAAACAAGATACAGACAAAAAAAAATCCTCAAATCTTTTAAAAATAGATAGTTCCTCTGTGACTTATTGCTGCCCCAGCTGATACAACAAATGGAGTCTTGCCATCACTGCCACTGCTCTCCGTGTGGATGTAGCCAACTGCTGATTATGGTTTCCCTTTGGAAGGCTGAACAGAACCAAAGACTTCTCCCAGCTGAAAAGAAAACCTAGTGTTGCAACTTACATGTGAGCAAAAACAAAAAACAGTTTCTGTCACTGTGCAGATTAGGGAGCTAAAAGTGCCACATTGTTTTAATGGTGAGCAGTTGTTTTCTCATGATGAAGGCCTTTTAGCTGAAACAAAACAACAATGTTCTATAGTCCTTTAAACTGCATTTAGGAGTTTAAGGTGAATCTGTCTCCATGCATTGAATTCAGAATGTAGATACAATTACACAACATTTTGTTATTACACCATAAGGATTTCAATGTTTTATGCTGATGATTACCAATTGATTATACGCCATTATTATTATTACCATCATTATTATACACCACATCTATTAAAAATGTTTTATCCGTAATCTCATCATAAATCTTATAAAGCAAATTAAGCTATTAGGTCATTTTGGTATCGAGACAATTTAAACAGACTGTAAAACGGAAATATAATGGACTTTGTTTGATTTTTTTTACCCCTTCTTTAACTGTGTTCAAGAAATTAATGAACATATTAGACCTTACATTGACCCCAAAGTTAAAGCCCTATGCAGGGTTCTATAGACTGCTTTTAATATGAATGAATCTATTAACTGTTCAGATTTTCAATAGAAGAAGTGTTGCTGTGCTGCTTTTAGTTATGCTGAATGTTCATTTCTGTGCTTCCCGCTTCCCCGAGGAGAGAAAAACACAATCGGTTAATTAGTAGCTTAATGTTGCTTTTTAACCGATAAGCACTGCATGTTCAATAATGCTAAAACGGACCTTGGAGAGCCAACAATGCAGTTAATAGCTATTGACTTGGTTGAGCCTTTAAGCTGCTGAAAAGCGGTTTTTCTTTGCTCAGACATTTCTTTCTGCGGCTTATTCCATTGTCTTTTTAAGAAAATCCACAAATTACATTTTTATTTGCCTTTTTAAAAGATTATTTATTGAATAATTTTTTTTTCATCTTGGCAACACCTTTTTCTCCAGCTCTTTTAGCAGTAAACGATCATGAATCACCAGCCCGCAGAGGGGCCTGAGTCTCTTAAGGCTTTTTAGTGACTGAGATGTGGTATTTTATTTTTTCTCACCATTTACTGAAAGCATAAATGCACAAAGTTGGAGCCTGGATAGAAAATCCTTTCTAGATGGTTATAAGAGAGCGCTGGAATGATAAGGATACATGCGCCCTCTGATGTAGCTGTAATAAAAACCTGACCAGTAATTACATGTAGGAATATCCTGCAAAGCTAAAATTATTTTTCAAAGCATTTCCAACACTTGGACCTCTTCATCATATTTGAAACTCTTGAAAAACCTGCTGTGCAGTGTAAAGATGTTGATAAAATATTTTATACATTCTTTATGTAAAATACAAAAAGACAGTGGAAAAAATGTTTTTACTTTGAATGTACAAATGTACATGTATGATACATACAATATTACTCCAGGAAAACAGAATTAAAGGGAGGAAACAATAGAGTGCAGAGCAGGCTCAACAACAAATGTAGGCAAAATTAAAACAACTCCATTTTAAAACTCTTGCCTTTTCTCATTAATTCGGATTTTAATAGTTGATCATGTAAACAAACCAAAAAGGAAAACGTTTTTTTTTTTTTTTACTTCTACAGATGTTAATGTTTGGGATTGTGAACTGACGGTTTTAGTTTGTGTTTTTTGTAAAGTCCAGGTTAACTTCACCAAATTGCAGCTTTTATTGTTTTTCAGGCAACTACTTTTGTGGACCCAATCAAGAGTTAAACCTGTCTCAATTCAATTCCAATTCCATCAACCATCTGGTTAGCTGAAATGACACGGTGCAAGGTGATACAGTTTGTAGCGTTGTTGGCTTGCAGCAAGAAGGTTCTGGGTTTGATTTCCAGCCTAGGGTCTTTCTGCAGGGAGTTTGTATGTTCTCCCCATGCATGTGAGGATTCTTTCTGGGTACTCTGGCTTCCCCCACAGAAGTTAAGTTAATTGGCTTCTGTATATTTTCCTTATGCGTTTGTGCATGGTTGTACGTCTCTGTGTGATGCATTGCTTCAACACACTGGTGACCTGTTCAGGGTGTACCCTGCTTTTTGCCCATAGATAGGCACAGGCCCCACCTCAACCCTGAGGGAATAAGCAGAAGATGGATGAATCCGTGAAATGATATGAACATCATACTAATTTGGGACATTTTTTGCATTAGATGACAGATTGTGTCCTGGGGTATTTCAAATAATCTGACCAAGGCGTTACAAAGTTCCTGGACAGACTAATGTGGAACCTAGTGTGTCAGCTGGACCTAACCTGAATGTCAAAGAGAAGTTCAATTGAGTTTAGAACCCTCTGCAGCAGCAAGGTGGATCTAGGGATTTGGTCCTGATATCTCATCAGGTTATCCTGTTCACTCTGTTTGTCCCTTCATGGACAGGGACAAAAACAGACCCATTATCAAACCAAATTATGATGAATTATGCTGCAGGCAGCATAGCTTGACTGCAGACAGACCCTTTCGTGTCTTTGCCCATCGCTGTTTGAAGTAGTACAGAGAGCATGTTTTTTTATTTTTAAACTGTCATTAGGTAGCGCAATATTACTCAAAGTGAACGCTCCCCTCACAGACATAAGAACTGGAGTGACATTACACTCCATTTGATCCCTTATGTACAGTAAGCTTTTTCTTGAGGTGTTTATTTGTCAGGTGATACTGACGCTGGATGAAGTCTCTTCGTTTTCATCCCTCCCACCTTTTTTTTTTCTTTTTCTCAAGTTGAGGACTATATTCAGGTTCTATTCAATTTCTAACAAATCCGTGACTTTATGAAAGTGTCATCTTTTCCTGGCTTTAAGTCTTTCTACATTCTAGCTGCTGGGACTGATGGGTTTAGTTGTCTGCTTTCAGTCAGGCTATGACCTGTTGAGCTCAGCAGCTAGAATAATTTTACCTCTTTAAAGCAGATATTACATTTAAAGGTATAGAGGATGAACTTTTATTTCTGGGTGGATCATCTAAATAAGCAGTCCTCCTAATTGTCAATCATTCTGGTGATATGTTTACGTAAGGCCATCCTACGTGCTCATTGTGTTAGCCATCTTTTTCTGCGCATGCACACTTTCAGGCGTATATATGTGGTGTGCTCCGGTTTCAGCCAATCATTGAAGCTCACCTTTCTCACCACGGTTCTTTAAAAAATGGCCGATGGTCGTAAGAGACAACATGTCTACGGAGTGTATGAGAAGAAAAGAAAGGCCTCAGAGGAGGCAGATATATCCCAGAATGCTTTGCACGGAGAGCTCTCCTCACAAAGCATTATGGGATTTGCTGTTACAGTGGCTCATTGTTGCCATAGATTGTCGCTACCCGACAGCTGCGACTAAAAACAAAGATGGCGCAGGCACCCCACAGTGGAGGAGGAGTTACGTGACCAACGGGGAGCAAAAAGCAGTGATCATCAATCCGAACGGTAAGTTAACTGAGTTCGCTATGAAGTCCACTATATAGTCCCCGCTCTATATAGTGATAGATGGATTTAGGGGTTAGGGTGGACGTTCCCGCATAGTAAGCTTGTACGAGCTATGAGAACAGCAACTTTTAAACAGAGCGTGCACGAGGAGAAGTGGGCTTGTGTATTCCTTTACAGGGTTGTGCCTGTGCATTTTTTTTTTAAAGTGGAGAGGGCGGGTCTAAAAAATTTGCAAAAATCCTTCGCAATACCTTTAATCTCTAGCTTTAAGTTTTTATTTATGGAATGAAAAAATGATTGCTGTTGCACCAAACTGAAGATTATAAAACCTGGAGCAATTTAAAAGTTCAATTAAGACTTTGTGATAAATTTTCATTTAAGCAGTCTGGAGCAATACAGGCTGGTACAAATTGATATGCAAGAACCATCATGTAACCTGGGCTGAATTTAATTGTGGCCTTGTTATTGCATTTACTTCGTAAATAACAATGAAACTTTCAGACAAGTTATTTTGTTATCTAAAGAAGGGAATTAAATTTTGCTCTGCAGTTATCTTCTGGGCTGCCTTACCTGTAAAAGGGATCATGTAAAAATGATGTGTGGGTCTGGGAGTGTGTGGGAAGGACAAGCTGCAGACACAAGATGGAAGTCTATTAGATGAGGTGAGCCTGACCTGCTCATGTTCTGATCTTTCAGCTGGAAACTGCATCAGATGTTCCCACTCCGATAGATTAAAGTCATTTGCATCGTCTCTCCTGAATGCCTTGTATTTACCTCAGCAGGTGCTCATGACAAGCGAGGCAACTGTTGTTTACTGCAGAATTAACATCAGCAAACAAGGCAGTCAAATTTACAGCCTTGTTTCCCTTAAATTACCATGTACTGTATGTTAAAATGCACTGAGGCAAACATAATACATGCATCTTTCTGCTGGAAAATATAGAATTTTCCTTGCATTGAACAGGCTGCTGTGGTTTGCTCTGCATAACGATGAGCATCTTAGAAGGGAGTTTATTATGTTTGAGTTTATTAAGTGAAAGCATAAACAGGCTGAAAGAAAAAGGCAAACAAGTATTTCAATGTCACTTGGCTTTTATTCACATTTCATATTTCTGTGTTTTTGATTCCACTAAAATCCTGAAATGGTCCCATTCTCCTCATCATAACCAGTAAAAACAGAAGGTAAGACCATTACAAACACAAAATTATATTAATAATAATTCAAATAATGACAATAATAAAAGCAGCATTGATACAAGTCAGGTTTCTGTCTCCCTTCATCCTCAGCATCGCTTTCATAAAACCACCTGAATGTCAAAAACACACAGTTAGCTTGTGATAAATAAACACTGTCCATCCTTTCCTTTTCAGATGGAAAAAGCCTTTATAATGAACCAAAACAAAGTTAAAAAGTGACTTAAGCCATTTTTAAAGGAAGTAAAACATGATTGGTCTTGTGGTTGTGAACTGGTCATCTACATTCTAGCTCCTTCCAACAGCACGCCTGCCGTGCCTCTACAGCCAGGTTCCTAGGTCCTGCTACAGCTTTTTTCTAAAGATCCATTCTAGCTGATCTGATCTCCTGTGGAAGAGAAAGCAGTCGTGTGGAGAGCAGAAACACACGCTGTTTGCTACCAGTGAGCTACAGCAGGGTGCTACAGACAACAGCCGGCGTCTCTTTGTGGCATGCAAGCACAGGTTCCATGGCCCTGCAGCCCTCTCTACACCCCATGGCTCCCGCTGAAACACTTTGGATGTGATCTGACATTGTTGTAGATGTGTTAGTGTCATGTGAAGAATGATTCTAGAAGCAGTAAAACACTAGATTAACCGCTAAGGGTATATTTGTCCAAACCGGTCTTGCAGCAAAGCCCCTTTCAGACATGAGTAAAGGAAAAGTCAGAACTACACTTCGGCTCTTTTGTCTTATTATCGCAGTAAATGTCCCACGGATGCATTCTTCTGAGATTTATTTTGATCCGCATTAAATCTGCTCATAGTTCTTCAGTTATCTAGGTATTAAGTTTAAAAATAAAATGTTATGATAAAACAGATTAAAGGGAGATTTTTTTTCACACATTTAACATGTTAAAAGGTGAGATGTGTTGGTAGGTATGAATCTTCTCTCTAACTAAACATAAACGCTATATTCTCTTACCTCCACCCAATACGGTTAGGCTAACTTTTACCTGTGTCCAATACACAGGTAAAAATAATAATCCAATGTTATCTTTAATAGGGTGAGTGATGATTCTGTCTGCTGACAGACAGAATCAAAGAGGGAAAAAAGGCCACATCTTGCTGCCAAAGTTGATAAAAAGTCACAAACTCATTTTGCTTTTTTAAAGTAAAAGAAGGGACATCTGGAAATGTGTTAATAAATACTAAAAGTTGACAGAGCATAAATTTTGGGACATTATCAAATCTGAATGCCTGCTTAATACTGCATTGATTAAAAACTATGAACAGACTGGTTAATATGGGAATGTGATGTTTAGAATGGAATGGAAAGGCTTTAATTTGACTGTAACTGTATTTAGAACAGGCATGTTTTAAGATAAACTTGTACAACTCTACAAATTTATCATCATATAGATTTTAAGTTGCATGATTTGAAAAGATAATGTATTAAAATATTAGAGCTTCACCAAAAAAGTTATGTGAACCTAAACACTAAGGAGGATTAGCCGTGTGTTAGATGTCTGAAATGGGCTTTACTCTCTATCAGTGTTGTATTTGACAAACTTACACCCTGTTCTGAGCTGTACACACACCTTGCAGCTGTGTGTTGATGTAATATGTGCAAGCTGATGGGTATTGATATAGTCAATCAAAAAAAAAAAAAAAAAAAAAAAACATCTTCAGTGCTAAAATCCTTATAGACATGTGGAGTCTCCCACCGGCCACCTGTGCCGGCATGAATGATGAACAGACACCAGCTGCAATGATATGGTCACTGAGTGTACGTCAGAAAGGCCTCCATGGATGGGATTAGTGTGCTTACTTTGTCCTGTACTTCTTATTGTCACCACTAGATGGCGATGTTTGCCCTCGTCACCTGACAGCACTGTGCCATCAGAGGATGGGCTTTCAGTCTGGATGAAAGAGACACTGATGTGACGCAGTCATCAATAATTTAGTTTCAAGTCTAAAGCCAAAAAAAGCAGCCTAAAATAAACAAAAAAAAAGAAGCTGGTCCGATTGTTTATCTGAAAGCCTGAACTACCCTGCAGCTCCTCTGCCGTCGTCCTTATCCGTCCTTGTGCGGATTCGTGAGAGCTGCGGTGATCCAGTGTGGACGTTCTTCAATCAATCATCCCCTCTGTGCGACCTCAAGTTCACCCTTTCATCGTCCATCAGCAGACTCTCTGGTGGCCTGCACTGTGTCCTTGTTGTTACAGTTGGATCTGCTGGTGTCAGTCACTGGTACTGGAGGTAATTTTTGAGGGACTGAGGGAGAGGGAGGCTCTCGATTTCCTTGAGTCGCTCCCGACCTAACGCCAGGCGGGCCGCACGTCGACACAGGTCCATGAGAGGCAGGGGCTCAGCTGAGGAGAGGGGAGGAAACAGAATATTATAAATCCACAACATATCTTCATATGGGTCAAATAAATGAAAGAAAAACACAGGGGCTCTTTAATTATTCACACGCATTAATTCATTACACATGTTGCTAATGACTTCTGAGGTAAAGCAAATCATTGTGACTAAATTACACTGAAAACAAAAGCAGACCAAAAGTTTTTCCTCTGGTGATCCAGAGGAATTGCCAAGGAGAAAACAGACAGTGGAGGCAGGATGATGCTTTATGAAAAATTCACTGAAATAGCCTCCAGTTATTAGCAGGTGCCTGATATTAAATTCTATATTCTCCTCCTTTATTTTATTCCAAGGTCAATGGATTTAATCAAGATTTTATACGGTAGTTTAACATAATAAAAGGTCTTCAGATGATTTTAAAGGTATAGTGGAGGATGTTCTTTTTCCAGGTGAATCATCTAAATATAATAAGTTGTCCTCCTAGTTCTCAATCATTCTGGTGATATGTTTACGTAAAGCCTATGTTTTCGTCCCTAGGTTGCTATCTTTTTCTGCGAATGTCACTGAAGCTCGCCTTTCTCACTGCGGTTCTTTGAAAATGGCAGAGGGTTGTAAGACAAAAAGTGTCTACAAAGTGTATGAGAAGAAAAGAAAGGCCTCAGAACAGAGAAACAAGGCCAGACTGCTTTTGGGAGATTCTTGCACACAATGGCGTACACTGAAGTCACAGGTCGGGCTTCCCACTGATGCAGCAGTTGCAAAGTTTCTACTCCACAGGTAAGGTTTAGCATGCTGTTTGAAGAAATCCATTTCACATCAGTGATTGGTTAAAGTTAGCTACCTCTATAGTGTTACTTTCCAGGGAAGATAAGTTTATTTGTTTTGTGATTTGCATCGTTAGTAGTAAAACACGTCCATTTGCGGAAATCATGTACAGTACCTTTAAGGACCATAAAAAGTAACTCTGAATATACACTACTCAAAAAAATTAAAGGAACACTTTGTAAACAGAGTATAGCATCAAGTTAATTAAACTTCTGGGATATTGATTTGGTCAGGTAAGTAGTAGAGGAGGTTGTTAATCAGTTTCAGCTAATTTGGTGTTAATGAAATTAACAACAGGTGCACTAGAGGGGCAACAACGAGACAACCATCAAAACAGGAATGGTTTTACAGGTGGAGGCCACTGACATATTTTCCTCTCCTCGTCTTTTCTGACTCTTTTTCACCAGTTTTGCATTTGGCTAAGGTCACTGTCACTACTGTTAGCATGAAGTGCTACCTGGACCCTACAGAGGTTGCAAAGGCAGTCCAACTCCTCCAGGATGGCACATCAATACGTTCCATTGCCAGAAGGTTTGCTGTGTCTCCCAGCACAATCTCAAGAGTATGATGGAGATTCCAGGAGACAGGCAGTTACTCCAGGAGAGCTGGACAGGGTCTTAGAAGGTCTACAACCCATCAGCAGGACCCGTATCTGCTCCTTTGTGCAAAGAGGAGCAGGAGGAGCACTGCCAGAGCCATACAAAATGACCTCCAGTAGGCCACTGGTATGAATGTCTCTGACCAAACAATCAGAAACAGACTTCACGAGGGTGGCCTGAGGGCCCGACATCCTCTAGTGGGTCCTGTGCTCACTGCCCGGCACCGTGGAGCTCGATTGGCATTTGCCACAGAACACCGGAATTGGCAAGTCCGCCACTGGTGCCCTCTGCTTTTCACAGATGAGAGCAGGTTCACCCCAAATTACTGAATGCCATTTTGAGTTGCTGCAATGAAATTTCAGCAAAATTGACTAGCCTGTGGCATAATTTTTTCACTTTAATTTTTGGAGTGTCTTTGCATTCAGCCCTCCGTAGGTTGGTAATTTTCATTTCCATCAAATGATGTGGCATCCTTTTGTTCCCAACACATCAGCCAGTCCATATCAGTATAAATATACAGCAGGATTTTTTCCCCATTGAGATCTGATGTGTTTTCAAAATGTTCCTTTAATTTTTTGAGCCGTATATTTAAATATCAGTAAGTTAAGGTCTTGCTGGGATAAATATAACTAAAAAAAATGCTAGGAAGCTTAAAACCACCATCGCCAACAAACTTTCCAGAGATATCAGCAGTTGAAACAGTTATTTTCAAAACTTTAACCATTTTTTATTATGTAACAGCTTTTGAGAATTAACTTGTTTTGAATCTAACCTCATGTGGCTATTCTGTATGGTTTTTCTTTCTCAGCCTCATAGAAAAAGTCCCACATTACTATCATTTGTTTCCAAATAACAAAATGGGAGACACTTGATGATGTGGAGGAGCTCCTCTGAGAGGATGTCAGGATCTTTAAAACTCAAAACTGGCTTTATGTGCTCTATGGAGGAAAACCCACACAGAGCCATCACCTGTTGGAGCTCTGGACGTCCTCTACCTGCTGCCCCCAGAAACTGCATTACTCTCTGCATGCAGGTGTTCAAGGTTAAACCCAGAGGATAAAAGACAGGCCACCCTCCACACACATTAAGAGTCACAACACATAATCCCCTCATCATGACTGTGTGTCCTTGTACTGTCACTGTCACATTAATGCTCCAACACTTAAAAAAGGCACAGCTCCCCACTTCTGGACAGTCAGATGAAAAAAAAAACGCTTCTGTCTACTGTTTGCCCCTCTGTTGGAGTAATGATGATGCTTTCATCCTGGAAACGCATTTAAAGCTCAAAGCTATTGATCAATCTGCTGTACAATAAAAAAATGCTCAAACAATCCACGTTGTGTACTGTAATAGACAGCATAAAACTCTCTTTCAATTGTTTGCTTTGCTGAACCAACAGACAGAAATATCTGAAAATTAAAAAAATTATTTCATCTGAGAGGCGTTTCCATCTTGGCATTTTTCATTTAATCGAAAAAGAAAAAGGTTATTAGGACACACAGCAAAAATATTTCAGGTTATGTTAGATTATGCTCACTAAATGCTAAAGCTTGCTTAGTTTTTCAAATTTCAGGGCACAGTGTCCATATGATGTTATATGCTGCTGTACTCAGCCTGAGCCGATGAAGAACAAGGCAGGCTCCAAATAGAGCAGAGATGCTAAGCTGGCTTTAGTGCCTTGTTGGCCAGAGACCAGAGAAGCACTGAGTGTTTACCGACACCTGCTTGTAATTATTACCACTTTTTTCTTCCAGCTGGGGAACATAATGCAGATAATTTGCTTCATAAAAGTATATCTTCACAAACACTCTATAATGAGTCTGAAGCCAAGGAGGTCAGCTGAAAGAAATCAACCATTGCAGCAAAAACAAGGTAAAAACTTAGAAGACAGTGGCCTGTTACCTTTTTTGGAAAAAGAAAAGCTCATCTCTTAACATGATTTGTTGTTGAAAGGCCATTTATGACTGCAGGAGACTTATTAAACTGCAGTAGAAAAGATCTGAGAACTCCTGTTCGCTGCTAAAGACGCTACAGCAATTTTTTAATCACAGGGAGCTAGCTGCAAATGTATTTGCGAGTGTGTGTGTGTGCACTTGTCAGAAGAAGCAATTTTACAGCAAATCCAATTAATCCGAGTGTGCTTGGAGGCTCTTCAGTGCAGTTTCTGTTATGTAGAGGCAGGGTGAGCAGACAGCAGTGTGGCTGCTATCAGGAGGGAGGCAGTGTCATCTGTGCATGTGTGTGTGTGTGTGTGTGTGCCTGATTTTTATTCTCTCTGGAGAAAAAAATGAGAATGTGAAATATTACCAAAGAAACTAGACTGAAAAATAAAGGATCCAATTCCCACCTCCTTTAATAGAATAAGGTTAACCTTCCAGAGGCTTTATTTTTATGTAACTCATTATTAATGCATGCACAAAACAACTTTTGGATCATCCTGGATTAGCTTTTCCTTTTTTTTTTTTTTTTTTTTTTTTTTTTTAAGTTGGTTGTGTAAATTTGACTTTTAATATTTAATTACTACCCGTCTGTTCTGGTGAAAAACAGATAAATGTGATGATAAATCAGGATTGTTTATGCCTGACCTGCCATGATCTGTGATTGGCTGGAAACCAATCTGATTTTCTTTTCTGGCCCAAAGCACAGTGCTAACAGGTTCCAGGTTCTTTGGTGTTGAAGCTGGTAGGATGTTCTCAGTGGTGCTGAGGTGTTAAGAATGAATTTGGAGGAGAATATTTTAATTGGATCATACAAAAATTCTTCTAATCGATAACCATTTTAAGATTTGAGAGAAAAGGTTATAAATCCGTCTTGAAAATAAGGGAAATAGGCTTTAATAAATTGAAGTTTGGTTCTTATTCCTGCAGAGAATAAGAAAATCCATCTATTTTCCTTAACACTTATCTCTGCTGGGGTTGCATGGGTTGCTGGTGCCTATCTCCAGCAGTCAATGGGCGAGAGGAGGAGTACACCCTGGACAGGTCGCCAGTTTATTGCAGGTCAACACAGAGACAAACAGGACAAACAACCATTCACACACACAGTCACATGCACTCACACCAAGGGAGAATTTAGACAAGCCAATTAACCTAAAAGTCATGTTTTTGGACTGTGGGACGAAGCCGGACTACGCAGAGAGATGCACGCATGCACAGGGAGAACATGCAAACTCTATGCAGAAAGATCCTGGGCCAGGAATCAAACCCAGAATCTTTTTACTGCAAGGCAACAGTGCTACTCACTGTACCACTGTGCAGCACTTCCTGCAGAGACCCCTTTCTTATAATTTGTAAGAGTTGACTGTATGTGTTGATTTTCATTGAAGCAAAAACAGACTGCTCTGGATATTCAGGCTGATTAGTTGTTGCTTTATTTTACTGCAAACATTTCTTTGTTAACAAGCTACAATTCCTATCATTGCAAAAAGAAAAATGTCTCTGCTGTTATTTATCGCTCTAAATAAGTTGATTTTTGCAAGGCATAGCTGTGCAAAATTAGTGATCAGAAGCTGTCCAGATAAGTATTAAAAGGTTTGTTCATACCAATCCAGCGCTATCTGACTGTGTAGCTATATAAATGATTAA